AATTAGTTGAATATATAATTCCAATAAGATTGCTAATCATTGGTGGTAAATGAAAGAAATTAAATCAAATTCATTGATTCATTTGATATTTTTTCCTGATAATACAATGTAAAGTTAATCAATTGGATTTGTAACTTTTTTTTTCAATCCAACATGTAAATCAAATTTACTTGAAAGGTGATAGTCTATATTATACAAAGTTACAATTCCCATTAAAATGAATTAGTATCAATGAAGTGTTGATTATCTTGATGAAATTATCACCTGAATGTAACATGAATCTGGTAAATAACTGAATTGAGTTGAATTCACATTAAGATAAAGTTTAACCATTGGAAACAATTAGCAATCATATTATTGTAATAGTGGTTTTTTTACTTCTATCTTACTCTTTGCTACATTTCATCAGGTAACCTATTCCCCTATTCAGCTGAAAACCATCTCATTATAATGAACGTTAATATAATTACAATGGTTGCTCATTATTAACTGTCTACTACTTTTTTGCTTAATTCTATGAGGAATTGATATGTAACATTAAGTAAGTGGAAACGAAAAAGTGAGAGGAAAAATAACAGTGTGTAGCTGAAACCATTCCTAAGACATTTATTGAATTAGTGTGATGGTGGAGATGATGACCAATGGCTATTGGTGGGTGGATGATTTAAGTGAGAGAAACTATTTGCATCTCTATGATGTAAAGGTAAGGTCTCCATGGCTATCAAGATGCTCAATATTGACTTTAAATGTTATTTTTCACATGAGCCCAGCAATAGGTCAGCTTGATAATCTGTGATTTAATCGGTATTATCTACACTGTACTAGATGAACTGTTTAACTTTTATGAATTGGAATATTAAATATTCGTTCTCATAAATTATCATCGATCTCTCTCTCTCTCTCTTTCTTTCTGTTGAAAAATTAACATGATAAATTCATATGATAAATGAGCTTAACGATTATTATTAATATTAATTAGTTTACTAGATTATTATTATTTCATATCTTACACTATTAGTTTGATTGAGATTGAGATTAAAAGTTGTTATGGTTCAAAGTTAACTCTCGAAAATAGTAATTATGCTGATTAAGATCAATAACCTCTTTGTATCTATTAATATTATGAGTGATTCACAGAAAACGAAACAAATTCTAATTTGCTATTAACATAGATTTTTAATTTAATTTTTATCTTGATCTTGTTTTCTCTATTGAACAAGGACAACGAATACAACGTTTATTCACTGTAAATGAATGCTAAGAAATAATGATGCGACTGTTTAAATACTCATGTTGACGGTGATGATAACTCTATGGTCGGTTGGAAGCTTATACACTATCATTATGTTGATGATCTATTCATAGTGATAACATTAGTACATAGAATAGAACTCGAAATGACCTTTAGGAGACCTTGAAAGTCCGAAGAAGCCTTAATAAGTATTTGTCCTTGAATAATCTTAAAATATGACAATTATGTATCACCCAAACTTCCATAACTCGAATCTGAAGTCTAAATACTTGAAGACAAAAAATCATCCCTAACCGAGTTATCCAAGATAAATGTTGGAACTCTTTCTTTGTTATATAAACCTTTATCAGTTAATTTAATCATCTAGTTCCCTTAAGATTAATAAGTTTAATAAGTTCACCAAGTTTTATAAAAGTGTATCCTGAACATGAGTTTAATCTACGATCCAATTGAGACCCGTGACATATACGCGAATTATAATCTGGACCCTGATCATAAATTATTCATAGAAAACTTCATGAATCGTGTTGCTCGGGCTATCGGTGATCTATAAGACCAAGAAATTGATTCAACTCAACCTTCATTACCACCCTAACCACCACCAACACCATCACCAGCAAGTTTAATGGATGATTTTTTCAGAAAAGATAGAAATTATCATGAGCAAAAAAAATATTATCATAGAACTGAAAAAATTCCATTGTCTTCAGCTTTTCGAACCTTCTTGCGTAAGTTGGCCATTAAAGTGTTGGAAAGTGTAGGTTCGAGGTTTTTGATTGTTTTTTTGGTCCTTTTTATCAATTCTGATTCTGATTTTGCTTTGAAACCACCAGCATAAACTCGCGATTTCAAAATGGCCCAGAACTTTTCGATCGGACGAAGCTGTGGACAGTTGGGTGGGTTTGAAATTCGTGGTACGAATTCAATTTTCAACTTTTTGAGTCGCTCTTGAGTTACTCTAGCATAGTGAGATGTTGAAGTCAGGCCAGAATAAAACCTTATCTTCATGATGATATTTATTGATGAAACTTTTTAAGCGAGGCAAACATTCATTCATATATATATATTAGAATTAACTGCTCCTTTAACTACATGGAAATATGGACGAGATAATCCCTTTGAACTTATTGCTAACCATAACAGAACTTTTTTGGGAATTTCGACATCAATCGGTCGTCATCTCAAACAAATAGGAAAAGTGCGAAAGTTAGACCAATGAATACCTCACAAACTCTCTGAACACAATAAAAAGTGCAGCTTGTATTTCACTGCTCGAAAGGTCCAGGAAAGTTTAAAGAAAATCCTGGAGGGCTCCTATCATTAAAAACATTCATTTTCATATTTAAAACTTTGAAAAAACTCGAATTTCGCGCCAATAAATTTATCTAAGAATTCAAAAAAAAAATTCTACCTAGAAACTTTGATCTGGAGTGTGAGTTTGTGCTGGAAGAGGACATAATATAACTACTGTCATTTGATGACTGTCCATCATGAAATTTAACGCCAAGCTACCAACAAACACGGAGAAGTCAAAGATTTACATTAAACTATTGAATATCGATTTCCTCTGCAGGGCGATTAAGTTAAATTAACAGATTTGTTTTCAGAATTACTTGAGAACGGAGAGTCGTTGACAAGATCAGATCACAGATATGGACTTGAGAGACCATCCGAATTTGTTTGACATCAAGTTCGAAACTGACCTTTCGGTAGGCCAAAAGGGCGTGAATGACTCGGCTCTGGTAAAATTTGGGTGAATTATTTTGCTCTTTTTAAAGCCAGAAAAAATTAAATAAAATTTTCGTTCACAAAGCGAAATTCGGATGGACTTATGGTAGTTTGGGCGATACCCAATTATCATATTAAAATTTTTCAAAAGTTTTTTCAATTCTCATTACTTGATTTTCAATGTGATTGAAAGTCCGATAATCATGTAAACAAAATTTAATCCGGTAAAATATTTCAAGCCTGAAAGTTTGAATATAATTTTGGAGGATATAGAAATCATTAACTTTCATAAAGTATTTGAAAATTTATTCCAATACTGAATCAACATTGTGAATTTAGATTATCATGTTAATCAGATATGAAAAGGACGGTAAGGTAAAAGTGATTTCAAGTTTATCATGAAACTTGACAAGAAAATATTAAGATGGTGAGATAAGATGGTAAACCATACGGAAAAAGAGCATTATTATTACAACTATTATTATTCTAAGAACTTTTTCTTTTGTTCTAACGTTTTGAGTTCGATAAAAATGGGAAGCATAATTTTCAGTTTTCGTCTCTTTTGAACCAACAAGAATGTGAATACACTTGAAATACTTTTCCATATGATGATATAATTATCATGATGAAAGAATATATAATATCAAGGAAAAGAATAGAGAAGGAAGAAGCAAAAAATTTTGAGATTTCGAAAATTTCTATAGGAAAATGAAAGATAAACAATTCCTAAAGAAACAAACGACGAAACCAAGTTGAATACGTCATTACGAAAATATTGAAACTCTCTGAATCTCGATAAATAAAGAGAGCATCCTCTCTTTCCCACCTCTCCCCATGTAGCTCTTAAAGGTCTCAGATCATCATCAGAACTTTTCCCCTTCGACTATTATTACATAAGCCAAAGTTTCAATTCTATATCATATATTCATCTCGTTATAGGTTTTGTTTACAAACGATTCTGACATTCAGAGTCTGAAGTTCATGGTGGCTATTCATAACTTTCACAAGCAACATTTTCTCACCAATTCAATTAACTTTATTCTATTTCTAATATCACATTTACAGTGGTAAAGTTTTTCTTTCGTTCGTCCTAAAAATTACTTGGTCAAGTCCGTCAAAAATTGGCCCATTTACATAAGTCATTCCAGTCCTTGATTCCTGATATTGATTCAGAAATTTTCACGTTCTCTAGTCAATGTCCATCGCTGTAGTTCATCTTCAGCATACCTGTGTGATTGATGAACGCTACATTTGATGTTATCAATCATCAGATTGATGCAATTTTAATTGTATTAAACTTGGATACAGGTGAGAAATCATATTGAGAATGAGTTAAACTATCATCAAGATCAAATTGTTTGTAGTCAACACGATGAACTTTTAAGAAAACAAGAAAGTCTTCAATCAACAATCAATATTGATTGTGAGGAATGAGAAAAAAACATTGGACAGATTTCACTTTGATACCTTTTGAAATGTTGAAAGTGGTCAATGAATGGTTTGTTTTTTGTATCGACGAAAGTTTTTTACCTCGATTTTTAGCAGATTGATCAATTGGAAAGTAAATTGTGATGTATGTTAGTATGTGTGTGTGTATGGACAACATCATGAAAAGGTTATCATGATAAAAAAATTGGAACAAAAAGAAAACATGAAAAAGGTTGTAAGAACAAAGAGAAAGAGAAAAGAAAAAGTAACTTTCCTTTTCCGCTCCAAGTAATTTCACACCTCCATCTATTAAACCCTTCTCATCTCAGTATTTACCTGTTCAATCTCATGATTTTCCATGAATTCTTTTTCCAAAATCAAAGAAAGTTCGATATTCCAACAGAGTCTCTTTTTCTTTTTCTCTCTTATGTTCGACAATTAAACTTGATGATTGAATTAAGAATAGATTTCCTTTCGGTTTTCGACATTTCTTTTCTTTGAGTTCGATAACTTTATCATTTTATATTTCGATTTTATTTCATTTGATCAACCGAATAGAAAGAGATAGACAAATTCGTGTGTTAAGTTTACAATCGAAACAGGGAAAAGATTTTTATTAGTTATTTTTATCAATACAGTGAAATGAAATTTCGCATTTTAATCATAACAGTGATCCAGGATTTGGATAAACTGTTGATTCTTAATTGTGCCGTTAATCTGTGTGATCTAAATATCTTATCATGGGAAATTCATTGAGATTCCTTGATAGCAAATATTCAGACAAAAGAGGCCGAGGTTTGTAAGCACTTCGTCCAAATCTAGAAAGAAAATGATGAGGTAAAAACGAGTTGAAAATATTAGAACTTTTTCGAGTTAAGAATTTTATTAACATTATCGAAACCTGTCAAATCAGAGGAAATTTCATGAAGAAAAAAAACTCAGAGAAAGATAAGAAACTTTTCCTTCTTATATAATCATGATTCTAAGTAACTTTTTCTTCGAGGAGGAAAATTGTTACAGTTTAATAATAATTCGATAATTAATATTATCTTGCTAATCAATCAAAGTTTTCATTAGTAAACTTGTAATTAGTCTCAACTGAATAGAGATTAAGTTTAATGATTCTTACCTTGGTCTCCCTGCAATGGCCACATACCTGTCCAGCTCTTTGAGGAAATGCTGAAGAGCATCGGAAGCTGGTTGAACATCACCTGATCCTGATGAGATATCAGCTGATAAAGATGATGATGATAAGGAAGATGGAGATCGAAATTTCTCTTCCAAAAGGCTTGGGTCCATTTCCTTGTTTTTCGAGTCAATTCGAGCTTCCGATAAAGGTAAACTTATCATGAGAAAACACATGGACATCGAAATGACCATTATCATTGTTGAACATGAGGAAATTGAACAAAACTTTTTTGATGAATTTTTAACAACGAAAACTTTTCCTAATAACCAACTATTCATATTTGATTATCTTAATGTCCACTCACTTTAACTGTAATCAACTTATTAATGGTCAATGTCTAAAATTTAATCTCAATATAAAAGGTTGATGGTTCAAACTGATTCCAATTTCCTTCGAATCAGAATAATTTATAGTCGAGAAAAAAAACGGTTTTTTTATTCGAATTATCAAATTGATCATCTTCATCATGTTGTTTTTAATTTTCTTATACAAAAAGATGAGTATGAGAGAGAAAAGAATATGATTCGACTTTTCTTCTTGTCATTCACAGAAAAGTTAATTCATTATTAGACTCAATTGATGATTTAGAAAAGAAAATCGTTTGGAATAATCTCAGATGAACAACATGATAACATTATCCTCATGTTGTCCATCATGATGATAATATAAAATCTCATTGTTCAATATGAATTCTTGTTTATTATTGTTACATGAACTTTTTTTCTTTAAAATTTGTTTATGTAACAAAAGATAGAATTTTATTTCATGAGAATGAGAGAGAAAGAGAGAGAGAAAGTTTCCTGATGATGATGATGATGAAAGATATCGAAATAAATATGAGGATATTATAAGATGGAAATGATTGGTTAAGGTTAGATCTTAATTCAGTTTTAATTTAATTTCAATTCAATTCAATATCTGGAATCTCATGAAACCTATCATGGAAATATCAACCTTATGATTATCAATCTAAGTTCTGAATGAATAACATGAAATTTAAAAGTTTTTCTTATGTAACCTAATCAATTTGATGGACAAATGTTCACCAGTATATGAATTATTTTTAATATATAAATAATATATAAATTATCATGAAATTTATTATATTTTCTTGCAATAAACACATTTAGGTTACATAACATTACCATGAAAATTAACATGGAAACAATAATTGACTCATTTAGTTTAATTATTGTTCAGTTAATTTGTTATTAAAAAGTTTTTTTTTCTATGAAGTGATGAAAATGATAACGATATTATCTGAGTCGATTAATTTAGAAGATGAAAACTCAGTGTTTTGGGAATTATTTACTAGGAATCCTAATCAAGTCGTGAAATATGAATATCAATCAATCAGATGAGATTCAATTTCTTTTTCAATGAGCTAAGAACGATTAATTTGTGGCATCATCAGGACATGGAACAGATTACTGGGTGAACATGGGGCTGAGCGACAATTTGTGGCATCATGTAGCTTGCATGGTGTTGAACCATAGCGGGTGGAGCTGAAACGGCTACGGCGTGTTCATGGAAGATCATTGAGTTTCGTTTCTTCATCATTAGTTTTTCGGAGGAAAATCTGATTGGATCATTTTCCAAATTAAACAAACAGAGAAAGGGAAGGTCAAAGGTTGAAACGTTGCATCAGAATTTTTGTTCACTACTTACGGAATTGGGATTGGAATTGGAATCGGGATCATTTTCTTCTTGGGTTTCATGAGAAGTGCCAATGCTGCGAGTCCCTTGAGTTTCATCATCTTCCGGCGACCAGCTGATCCAGATTCTGGGGCAACAATCAGTAAGACGATCACCAAAGTTGATAAACAAATGAAAATAGTTGGTGACCTCATCTAATGTCAATAACAATCAAGGAAAGACAAATGATTAGATTAATATCACAACGAGTACACAATTGACAACAATCAAGAAAACACTGAAAAATTGATGTTTACGAAAAAAAAGTCCAACTGATTACCTTTGATTAATTGATTTCTCACAATCAAACAGTTTGATAAAGAAGATAAATTATTTTTTCAAGTCTCTTAGAACTGATGAAAACACTGATTAGTTGATTGTCCAACTAAATCATCGTTTTTTATATATATACCTTTCCAACTGATCAAAAGTCACCTCCTATCAATTAAACTATGGTCCAGTTGATAAACTCCTCCATTGATGAGAAAGTTAATCAGTTAAACTTGTTTAAATTGAATGAATAAAACTTTCACTTCAACAATTAATCAAAAATATTGACCAACAATTAATCAATTAATCGGTTGTGGTCAAACATTTACAAACTTATTTTCATAAGGAAGAAATTATAATCAAAACTAATCAAGATCAATTTAATCAACCATATTGATCTGCATCCATTTATCATAAATTTAATGCTTTCACTAATTGTTAGAACTGTTAATTGATCATCTTATTGATTAGTCACTAATTTAGGTCAAAATTGTTTATTCGTTACATCAATTAACCCGAAACAATTTACTTCTTAAATTTGTTGTATCTCTTTTCTGGTCAACCATTTTGTTGGAGAAAACTTTAGCAAACCAATTGAAATAATTGAAATTTCACCGAAAAAAAAACAAAATAAATCAATTCGGTTAATCAGTTAATTAAAATTTTCACTTTCAATTTCGTTAGTGATTAGATATTAGGATCGATTTTTTCTGGTTCGATTAGTTCGATAGCCGAAAATCGATTTGGAAATAAAGATCGAAGGAAATCGATTAGAATTTTTTTTTCTATTGTTAATTTTTTGGTGTTTGTTTACAAATGTGGTGGTGATATAAGTGTTTACAGTTTTTGATTTCTTTTGCCCTTAAGGTGATTGTTTATTTTGATTGATATTTAGAGATCGAGTCACGATCAAGTTTATGTCTTTTTCGATGTTGTTCAATTTTTTAAGGTCCACAACAAATAAGCAAGGAAACACTTCAAGCGAAAATGTAAACAACGTTAAGAGGTTGAAAAAAGATCCTCTGGAAATGGTCGCTGAGATTGATGGTGAGGCCGATCAACTGGAATCTGAGGTGGAAAAGTTTGACGGAGAATATCAAGGTAAAGAGTATAGATACCTGGATGAAATGCTAACAAGGTGCATGTTGAAATTGGATAATATCGATTCAAATGGACGGGAAGATGTGAGAAGCGCTCGAAAGACAACATTGAATCGGCTTGATAAATGTACACAATCATTGGAAATCAAGGCGACCAGTAAATCAAAACAATCAGGGAACAATAAAGAGGACGAAGACGAAGAAGAAGATGAAGAAGAAAACAAAGAAACCAAAGATTAATTGGAAAATATCCATGACCAATTGATTGTTACAATCAAAATCTCTCCATCTCCTCAATGTATTTCCTATCAGAAAAGCTCGTAACCCCCTGAGGGTTAATTTATTAGCCATTTGCACAGAAAAAAAAAATCCTTCGGACTTTGGTTACTCGAATTGATGGAGAGAATTGATGAAATTTCCTCTACCTTTCATTTTATCATATTCTGTAATATCAAAAGAAAAGAAAAGAAAAAAAATTCTAAAAGAAAAAACGTTTTCTCTCTTTAAAGTCAAACAATTAAGATTGTTACATAGGACAATCAACCAGCCGATTTTATTGACAGTGATTAACTTTTTTTTCTTCTTTATAATCAACAGAAAAAAATAACACATTAAATTGCAAACAATTACAAAGTTTCTAACGCTCAAATACACTAGATTCAATTGGAATTAAATTTTGACAAATTCTTTTTCCAAGTTATCAAGTTGATTCTCCAAAAATTATCATTATTATTTCACGAGCTCTTCAGTTAATTGCTTTAAATTATTGACCAGGTTTAAGTTTAAATTGTAAGTAAATTTGTCAACCAGTTATGTTAATTGTTGATCGTTTCGATGGGAACCAAAGTATTTGGATAATTGCAGTCATTTGATTGGGTTTTTTATCGTCCCATCAGAAAATCGGGTTGTAATTGTTGTTCATTTGGGTTCAACTGATTGTATTGTTTGAAATTTTCTCATCAATATTCAGAATATATACTTCAGAATAATTAGAAAATTAGAAAGAGAGACAGAAAAGGAGTAGATTCAAGGATCACTTTGATTAGTTGATTGTTGGACAGACTTGTTACAAGTTAATTTGTAATAGTTTCGCTGATTATTCAAGGTTTTCATGGTAAATTATTGGATGAAATGTGGGGCGATTTAACCTTTTACCATCTGATTGTTTAGGCTTGACCTTAATCCGATTCATTTTGTCCAATTTTTTTGCGATTCTCGTGTATCTAAAATACACTCATAATCAGTAGATTGACCAGTAATAATAAAATACTATTTTTCTTTTAGTTTCCATATAGATTCTTCCTTGGATTAGAGATTGCAGTTGGATTAAGGGAGATTTAACAACTTTCCGTGATAATCAACAGGCCACGAATTTACTGGAACTTGAAATTGAATTGCTAACTCGTATTATGTCAGCCAATTGGTTCACATGTTTCCAGATTTAATCTAAATTGTTGATCTGACAAGAAACTCTTGATTATGTTGACATATACTTGATATGTATTTGGTAAGTATAATTGGAATGAGTTATACAAAAAATGACCAAATGAGGATGAAGATGCTGCCGGTGACAATGATGAGATAATGGTGGTTATGATCAATTAACTAGAAATAATTTAGATCTTGATTGTTTTCTGAAAACCTTTTCTCTTCTACGTCTTTTTCTTTATGAATTCAAGTTCAATCGCATGACTATGACCAGAATTTGAATCGATTTATCGGAGTCCATGATTTACATGATCCTTCATTGAACCACCAACTAACCAAATCTTTATGTCGACGGTTACATAATACATTTGATCGTCTTAATTGATGGTGATCTTTGGTTGATGATGAAAATGAAAATCCACTTTGGGTTGATTGTTTCAATCTGGAGCATATTTGGCAAAAAAGTGTTCGATAATCGTTATTGTTAATCGTGAAGCGAGATTTCCACTCAAAATATGAATTGTATCTTTTCTCATCGGCAGATAGACTTCGTAATAACATTGCCAAGTATCGAGGTGATTTAAATGAAAGAGCATCGATATACGAATGATTTGGTAAAACTGATGAATAATTGGCTCCACCAAGAACAATAGGAATGACTGTGTAATTAAGAAGATTGATTATCTTCTCGGTATAATAATCGGAACAAATTGAATTCTCGAAAGACAAGTAGTATCGATACTTTTTCTCAATATACTGGTAACAATATGATCCTTTTGAACTTGGACATTTAAATGAACCACAAGCACCATAAATGTCAACATCAATGTAACGAGCTAACTCTTTAGCATATTCATCTCTTCCCGATGAGGCTCCACAATTGGAAACCATCCAGGCCACATTACGACTTTTCTTTGAAAAGGGAATACTAACTGATTTGTGAGATTCATGAGATTGATTCTTTGGTATAATGGTTCCATATGGAGTTGGAAAATCTGAATCAGCTCGGTAACTGGACCAACAATCAATGTAATTAGAGAAAGCGGTTAAACTAGATCGTCTATAAGTGTTCATTGGAGATTCCATATGATGCCAGATCCACGTTTGACCTTCAAATTTATATTTAGGCAAATCTTTGAGATTAGTATTCCGCCAATAGAAAATTACAACTTTCGCTTGAGCCAAGAGACTTCGATTTCGGGTAACAATACAATCACAGTCTAAAGGTGAATTAGTTGCTCCCCACCATGAATCACTATCAAAGGCAGCGGTCCAAAGGAGGATAATCGGTGGAGCGGGAGGATAAATGATTGCTGGAGATGCTGGTGAAAGTGATGATGTTGAATAGGCGGCAAGTTGAGAGGGTGTTTGTTGGTTTAAACCATTGAGAAGAAATTTGTTTGAAACATCCAAGACTCGGACTGATGGATCAGCTGGATTGATGAAAAAATAGGTGAAATAGAGGCAAAAGAGGAGACCAACAATAACCAGAGTCCATTTTTTACGTCTTTGTGATGAATTAAGTGAATTTTGGGTTAACTGGTTAGTTCGTTTATTGTGTAATAATTGAACTTCATCCATTTGCGAGATAGTAAAGCTTTCGATTGGAAAAAGAAACAACCAAGGAGGAGAGAGAGAGAGAGAGATAGACTTTGACTTGGATAGATGATGAAAAAAAATGAAGAGATTAGTTGATAATCTGGTAGATTATGTGGACATGAGAAAAACAGATCAAAACTCGTTGTGATTACCACGATTGTTTAGAAAGTGAATGAGATTCGGATAGTTTATCTAAAGAGAAGGGATAACAAAAAGAGACAATTTGTTAGATATGATACATGAACGAGATTCCAAATTAATTGCAATTCGAATACACAGTTGATCTTGTTGACTATAAATCAAAAAGAATCACATGTTCAGATGTTTTTCTTACTTATTAGAATATAAATAATTGATGATGATTGAATTTTCTTCTTGTATCTCAACTGGTTTAAGTATCGGTGGCTTGTTGTTGATAAAAATCTTGTGTCATTACAGAATAAAAGTAACCATTGATCATTTTCTTCTGACAATTTAATCTAATCACTGTAATCATCGTCAGATTTTACGAATTCAATCAAATAAATGACACACATATAAACGGTTAATTGGAGTTAATTAGAAATTTGTGTTGAGGTAGAATTTTGGATAGAATTAAACAAAAGAAAATGATGAGAGAAATATACACAATGAGAAGGCAATTATACACAATAGAAAATCGGCGACTCAGAAAAGAATAGAATGATTGGTCATTCTGGAGAGAAGAAGAAGAAGAAGAAAATACTGATGATGATAGAAGAAGATGAAAAGAAAGAGGTTGATTAAATCACATTGGTAATTAGAAAATCAATTGATATAAAAACAGAGAAAAAGAGAGATACAGAAAGTGGAATTACAGATCAGCAACTATTGAGAAAAAATGACTTTTTGTTGACAATTTTTTTCTCTTTTTTCTTTTCTCTTCTTTTCAACCAACAGGTCAAAATGGACACACGATGTTGATTAAATTGCGAACAATTAACAAATAATTACAAATAATTACAAAGAAGAAGAAAAATGAAACATATTAAGTAGAGATGAAGATGAAAGAAAATCAAATGTAAACAAAAGGAAAAAGAGAGTAACCAGTTTTTGGAAAATAGAAAAAATGATTTTCTCTTTCTTTTGGTTTTCTTTCTTTCTTTCACTTTCTTCACTTTCTTTTTTCTTCTTTCTTTTTGCTACACAATCAACATTGGGAAACCTTTCGATTACACCAATTAACCAACACACTGATTCGCAACAATTAACTAAATCATTTAGGAGGTTTTACCTTTTCTTTCTGGTTAAAGGTTAATGTCTTGATCTCTTTTTCTGGTTTGATTGTTTTCATTTTGTTCTGATTGACAATTAATCAGAAATCATCTTCTAATTATCTGATTGATTGTTTGGTTATCTTATTTGTGATCTATTCGTGTATCGATTTTAACTGTTTCCTGTCAATTTAATCTTTTATATCAAATGGATTCAGCTAATTGTTGTTCTGGTTGTAAATCATATTCATATTATTAGAAGATATCAATTACTTCCTGATTTAGTTTCAATTGTTTTCCATCAGATAAGTTAATTGTTGTTCATCAATTTTGACACATTATTGATTATTGTTTTTCTCTGTGATTATTTGATTAACTACATTTCTTTTTAATGTTTAATTGTCCAAATATTATAATAGATTAGGTTAATGAACTTGTTGGAAAAGTTGAACTGAATCATTTTGTTTTCATTATATTAATAAATATTATTGTTGTTAATCCGATCGCATTGATTGCTGAGTAGATTAAAAAATTATAATTATAACTTGTAAATAGTGAAACTAGATCTTGATTGATTAGTGAGCTTTTTCAATTCAAGTTCAAATTGAACTGCTCAATGACCAGAATTGATTTATCGGTTTATATTTAACAATAATTATTTTCTTCTTTCAACTTACAACTTACATTCCCTGTATTGGATTAATTTGTTCACCTTACGATGAAGATAATCCAAGATTAACCTCAAGGTATCAAGCTTTTTGGGTTATGCCTCCAAATGAATTTAAACCCCTTGAATATGGGCGACCCATGCAGATGACTTACAGTGTGACCAGAGATTCATTTCTAACACAAGATTTACTATTAGACATGGTTAGTATACTTTGGATAAAAATTTTTAAACAAAAATTATTTTCTTCTAATTATTTTTTTCTTTTATTTATTAACTTTTTCTTGTTCAGCGTCTACTTGCTCATTATTATATTGATGGTCCAGACGCGATTAAATTTTCCGATAATTACTCAACTAAAGAGAAAACTTTTTGGCACAAACTTCAGGCCTCTTTAAAGCCATTTTTACCCCGAGATCTCACCACTACCGTTAATCAAACTCCAGCTCAGACACAAGTCCAACAACAAGCACTTTCCCATTTCTGGGCTTTTCTCAAAGGACTTTTACTCCCTTGAAGTAATTTCCACTTCGCCACAATTAACAAAATCGTCCAATTCCCATGACAAAACAACAATCTCCTTTTATCTCTAACAAGAATACAATTGATATTTATTCATAATTTTCATTAATCGACAAACTCCACACCAAACCAGATTAAAGAGCGATGGATAAAACTTGATCTCAGCAATAATGTCTAACCAATTGACAAAGGGAAATTCTTACATTGTAAAAAGAAAAACAACAAATAGTGAACCAAATTAATAAATAGTAATAACATTTAGCTCTTAAATACGTAATTCACTTCAACTTCAACAGGTAAATCGGATAAACTAGATCGTCTAAAAGTGTTCATTGGAAATGCCAGATAATGCAAGATCCACGTTTGACCTTCAAATTTATATTTAGGTAAATCTGAGAGATTAGTATATCGCCGATAGAAAGTTACTGCAGCAGTAAGATCTTACAAATGATTATAATTAGAAATATTTAATCATCAAAATAGATTAGGCTGCTGGACTTGTTGGAAACGTTTAAATAGATCACTGAGTTTTCCTTAAATTGTTTTTGTTGTTGAGAATACATTTGTACTGATTAATTGGTGGATCAACAAGTTATAATCATAACTTGTAAATTGTGAATCCTTGATTATTTAGTGAAAATTTTTAACTTCGTCAATTCAAACTCAAATTTAACTGTTCAACGGCCGGAATTTGAATCTATTTCGTGGACTCCATGATGTACAACCTTCCTTGAACCACCAACCAACAAAATCTTTATATTGACGGTTACATGATACATTTGATTGTCTTAATTGTAGATCTTTGGTTGATGATGAAAATGAAAATCCACTTTGGGTTGATTGTTTCAATCTGGAGCATATTTGGCAAAGAACTATCCGATAATCGTTATTGTCGATCGTATACCGAGATTTCCACTCAAAATAGGAATTGTATCTTTTCTCATCGTTAGATAGACTTCGTAATAACATTGCAAGTATCGAGGTGATTTAAATGAAAGCGCATCGATGTACGAATGATTTGGTAAAACTGATGAATAATTGGCTCCACCAAGAACAATGGGAATGATTGTGTAATTAAGAAGATTGATTATCTTCTCGGTATAATAATCGGTACAGATTGAATTCTCGAAAGACAAGTAGTATCGATATTTTTCTCAAAATATTCGTAACAATATGATCCCTCGGAACGTGGACATTTGTATGGACCACATTCACCATAAATGTCAACATCAATGTAACGAGCTAACTCTTTGACATATTCATCTCTTCCTGATTCGGCCCTACAACGTGAAACCATCCAGACTACATTACGACTTTTCTGAGAAAAGGTAACATTAGTTTTGTCTGATTCAAAAGATTCATTCTTTGGTAAAATAAATCCATATGGTGTTGGAAAGTCTGAATCAGCTCGATAACTGGACCAACAATCAACGTAATTAGAGAAGCGGTTAATTCAGATAGTCTATGTGTGTTAGCTGGAGACTCTAGATGATGCAAGATCCACGTTTGACCTTCAAATTTATACTTAGGCAAATCTGAGAGATTAGTATGTCGCCAATAGAAAATAACAACTTTCGCCTGTGCAAAGAGACTTCGATTTCGGTGACAATACAATCACAGTCTAAAGGTAAATTGGTTGATTCGTTCCATGAACCACAGTTAAAGGTAACGGTCCATATTAGGATAATCGGTGGTGAAAGAGGATAAATGGTTGTTGAAAATGCAAGTGAGACTCGGATTGATCGAGCAAATGATCGATTGATGAAGAAATAGGTAAAATAAAGGCAGAAGATGAGACCGATAATAACCAGAGTCCATTTCTTACGTCTTTGTGATGAGTGTGAATTTCGGTTTAACCGGTTAATTCGATTATTATATAGTAACTGGACTTCGTCCATTTGCAAGTTCGTAAAGCTTTCGATTGGAAAACGACCAAAGGAGAGAGAGAATAAAAAAGATGACTGTGGATCCAAAAAATGAAGAAATTAGTTAGTAACCTGTTGGATTGGGTGGACTCGAAAAATAGATCAAAACTCTTTGCGATTAGAAGGTGAATGTGAATTAGATTCGAACAATTTAACTTACGAGAAGGGAAAACGAAAAGAGAGACAATTTGTTAGGTTTAATTAAACTAAAGATTTTTAATTACAACTTTTTACCTTTTTTTCTCTTTTTTTCCTCTTCCGTTTTCGTCTACACCTCAATTTACACACCGGTCTCATTATTTGGTTGTTGATTGTACATACACGATACTCATAATTACAGTAAACAATTACTGGTGCATCGATATTAATCCAATGTAATGTATTAATATTTAGCTAATTGTTGTTCATCAATTTTGACACACTATTTGATTATTGTTTGGTTATTGTCTTTGATTATTTGATCAACTATCGGGTGAGCGAAAATGAGTGAGTATCTCAAGAATGGTAGGTTCTAGAATAAAGTTCAAAGCGTCATTGAAAGCGCCATCGATCAAATATTAATGAGTAATTTTTTCAAAACTTTCGAAGTTCAAATACAACTGTGGTTCTTATTTAAAGGCCAAAATCGCGATTTTCTACATGAGAAATTTATAATGGGGAAGTTATCGAGCCGTCAACCGTTCGCTTTTCAGGCCACTCGATTTCTCGAGAACCGTACGTCCTAAGAAAAAAAGCCGAACATTTTTGGACTCAGCGTAAAACTCACTTTCTCAAAATGTACAGAAACGTAGGTCTAAAACCTAAGGTTCGTGAGTTACTCACTCATCTTTGGTCACCCGATATTATTTCTTATCAATGGTTATAATTATAAATGTTTAATCGTCCAAGTAGATTAGATAAATTAACTTGTTGGGAAAGTTTAATAATTTTGTTTTCTTTTAACTGTTGTTAACAATTATTGCGATTTTTATATCAAGATTTAAGAAAAACTATTAATAGTAATCGTACAGAAATGCTAAAAGTATTAGCAGAAAGAACACAAAAATCGTCAACAACACGTCCGAATAGAACCAATGTAAAAGGGGGTCAGGTCAAGAGTCATTAGTTAATGAAGAAGAAAGTTAAATTAAAATAATTAAATTACAAAAAAGCCAGAAAAGACATTCGTTCACATTCATGAATTCAATTTCTCAAAATTTCATAGACAAAGCGATCTTGTTGATCGCATGATTTTCCTTGGATAATAAACTCGATAATTATTTGTCTCAAACTTATATTTCATAGTTTTATAATTTTTATTAATTCCTCGTTAGAAATTTTGAATTTATCTGAACTAGAAGTCGAGTTATAATCAACTGATTATTGTCTTTAAACTTTTGGAGAGGACTGTATGTGAGCTCAGGTGAATCTTTGGAACTATTTTATTTGTTTTTTCTTTTTCCTTGTTCACTTGACCATCTATTTTTAGACGATTGCCGGAATCGATTAATTTGGATTCCTCGATGTCAACCATGAGTTCAGTTTAGTGCTGAAGGTTGGAATAAATCAATTTGGTACTTATAATTTGTAATTATAATTGAGATTAATTACAAACAAAAGCCATGATGGTGGTTATGATCAATTAACTAGAAATAATTTAGATCTTGATTGTTTTCTGAAAGTCGTTTCTATGACTTTTTCCTTGTGAATTCAAGTTCAATCGCATGACTATGACCAGAACTTGAATTGATTTATTGGAGTCCATGATTTACATGAGGTTTCATTATACCACCAACTAAACAAATCTTTATCTGGATGGTTACATAATACATTTGATCGTCTTAATTGATGGTGATCTTTGGTTGATGATGAAAATGAAAATCCACTTTGGGTTGATTGTTTCAATCTGGAGCATATTTGGCAAAAAAGTGTTCGATAATCGTTATTGTTAATCGTGAAGCGAGATTTCCACTCAAAATAGGAATTGTATCTTTTCTCATCGGCAGATAGACTTCGTAATAACATTGCCAAGTATCGAGGTGATTTAAATGAAAGAGCATCGATATACGAATGATTTGGTAAAACTGATGAATAATTGGCTCCACCAAGAACAATCGGAATGATTGTGTAATTAAGAAGATTGATTATCTTCTCGGTATAATAATCGGTACAGATTGAATTCTCGAAAGACAAGTAGTATCGATACTTTTTCTCAAAATATTCGTAACAATGTGATCCCTCGGAACGTGGACATTTGAATGGACCACAATCACCATAAATGTCAACATCGATGTAACGAGCTAACTCTTTGACATATTCATCTCTTCCCGATGGGGCTCCACAATTAGAAACCATCCAGGCCACATTACGACTTTTATTTACAAAGAAAGCATTAGGAGCATTAACTTGGTTCGATTTTTCAGATTTATGAGATTCATTATTTGGTAAAATAAATCCATATGGTGTTGGAAAGTCTGAATCAGTTCGATAACTGGACCAACAATCAACGTAATTAGAGAACGCGGTTAATTCAGATCGTCTATGTGTGTGTATTGGAGATTCCATATGATGCCAGATCCACGTTTGACCTTCAAATTTATATTTAGGCAAATCTGAGAGATCAGTATTCCTCCAATAGAAAAGCACAACTTTCGCTTGAGGTAAGAGACTTCGATTTCGAGTGACAATACAATCACAGTCTAAAGGTAAATTGGTTGATTCGTTCCATGAACCACAGTTAAAGGTAACGGTCCATATTAGGATAATCGGTGGTGACAGAGGATAAATGATAGTTGAAAAAGCAGGTGAGACTTGGATTGAACGAGAAAATAAATTGATAAAAAAATACGTAAAACTGAGGCAAAAGAGTAGACCGATAATAACAAGAATCCATTTTTTACGTCTTTTTGATGAGTATAAATTTCGGGTTAACTGTTTAAATTGATTATTGTATAGTAATTGAACTTCAACCATTTACGTTATACTAAAGACTTCGGTTCGAAAAAGAAATGATAATGGGAGAGAGAAAGAGAATAGACTTGGAGATGATGAGAAAAAAATGAAGAGATTAGTTGATAATCTGGTATATTAAGTGGACTCGAAAATAGATCAAAACTCTTTGCGATTAGAAGGTGAATATTAATGAGATTCGAACAATTTAACTTACGAGAAGGGAAAACGAAAAGAGAGACAATTTGTTAGGTTTAATTAAACTAAAGATCTTTAATTACAACTTTTTACCTTTTTTTCTCTTTTTTTCCTCTTCCGTTTTCGTCTACACCTCAATTTACACACCGGTCTCATTATTTGGTTGTTGATTGTACATACACGATACTCATAATTACAGTAAACAATTACCGGTGCATCGATATTAATCCAATGTAATAAGTGTAAGTTAGTTGTTCATCTATTTTGATTATCTTTGCTTTTGACTTTGATTATTTGATTAACTATTTCTTATTAATGGCTAAAATCATAGATTTTTAATTGTTCAAATAGATTAAGTTAAGATTTTAGTTTAACTAAATCTTTTGTTGATAATCATATCCATTTTATTCAAAGATATCAATGACTTCCTATTTCTATCAGAAAAGTTAATTGTTGTTCATTAATTTTGACACATTATTGATTATTGTTTTTCTCTGTGATTATTTGATTAACTACATTTCTTTTTAATGTTTAATTGTCCAAATATTATAATAGATTAGGTTAATGAACTTGTTGGAAAAGTTAAACTGAATCATGCTGTTTCCATTATAAATATTATTGTTGTTAATCCGATCGCATTGATTGCTCAGTGGATTAAAAAATTATAATTATAACTTGTAAATAGTGAAACTAGATCTTGATTGATTAGTGAGCTTTTTCAATTCAAGTTCAAATTGAACTTCTCAATGACCAGAGCTTGAATTGATTTATCGGAGTCCATGATTTACACGAGGTTTCATTATACCACCAATAAGCCAAATCTTTATCTGGGTGGTTACATAATACATTTGATTGTTTTAATTGTAGATCTTTGGTTGATGGTGAGGACACAAATCCACTTTGTGTTAATTGTTTTAATCTGGAGCATATTTTGCAGGAAAGTGTTCGATAATCGTTAGTTTTGACTGTGAATCGAGATTTCCATTCAAAATAGGAATTGTATCTTTTCTCGTCGTTAGATAGACTCAGTAAAAGCATTGCTAAATCTCGAGGTGATTTAAATGAAAGCGCATCGATATACGAATGATTTGGTAAAACGTATGAATAATTACCTCCACCAAGAACTATGGGAATGATTGTGTAATTAAGAAGATTGATTATCTTCTCGGTATAATAATCGGTACAAATTGAATTCTCGAAAGATAAGTAGTATCGATACTTTTTCTCAATATACTGGTAACAATATGATCCCTTGGAACGTGGACATTTGTATGGACCACAATCACCATAAATGTCAACATCAATGTAACGAGCTAACTCTTTGACATATTCATCTCTTCCCGATGGGGCTCCGCAATTAGAAACCATCCAGGCCACGTTACGACTTTTATTTACAAAGAAAGCATTAGGAGCATTAACTTGGTTCGATTTTTCAGATTTATGAGATTCATTATTTGGTAAAATAAATCCATATGGTGTTGGAAAGTCTGAATCAGCTCGATAACTGGACCAACAATCAACGTAATTAGAGAAAGCGGTTAATTCAGATCGTCTATGTGTGTATTGGAGATTCCATATGATGCCAGATCCACGTTTGACCTTTAAATTTATATTTAGGTAAATCTGTGATATTAGTGTTTCGCCAATAGAAAAGCACAACTTTCGCTTGAGGTAAGAGACTTCGATTTCGAGTGACAATACAATCACAGTCTAAAGGTAAATTGGTTGATTCGTTCCATGAACCACAGTTAAAGGTAACGGTCCATATTAAGATAATCGGTGATGAAAAAGGATAAATGGTTGTTGGTGAGACTCTGATTGAACGAGAAGATAGATTGATAACAAAATAGGTAAAACTGAGGCAAAAGAGTAGACCGATAATAAACAGAGTCCATTTTTTACGTCTTTTTGATGAATTAAGTGAATTTCGGTTTAGCTGATTAGTTCGTTTATTGTGTAATAATTGAACCTCATCCATTTGCGAGATAGTAAAGCTTTCGATCGGAAAAAGTAATGGCCAGGGGAGAGAGAGAGAGAATAGACTTTGACTTGGAGATGATGAAAAAAAGATGATCTTCGATCCAAAGAATGAAAAATTAGTTGATAATCTGGTGGTGGTAATATTATGTGGACATGAGAAAAACAGATCAGTTGCAATTATCACGATTGTTTAGAGAGGGAATATGAATAAGACTTGGATAATTAGAGATAGAAAAATAGATAATTCTTTAGGTTTAATTAAACTAAAGATCTTCCATTACAGCTTTCTCTCTCTCTCTCTTTCTTTCCTCTTCCTTTTTCGTTGTCATCACAGTTTACACACCGGTCTCATGATTGGCGAGATTCCTAATTACAGTAAACAGCCACTGGTGAATCGATTGAAATCTAAAAAAAGGTATTCGGCTAATTATTGTTCTCGACGTTAATCATATTCATATCATTGTTTATTAGTAGAGATCAATTTCTTCCTGAATCAGACATTGCAACGTTTCCGATTTTATTTATTGTAAAAAAGATCAATTGAAAATTCGATTGAAAAACAACCTTTTTTTTCAATGGGTCATTTCATTAACTGAATTTATCGATCGATCTGAGAGCTGATTCACAAGAACAAAAAATTTCATGACGATAATACTGTTTAATAACAAAAATTTTTACAACTTCAGAATACATGATAATCGAATTCAAGACAATGGATCCATTTGGAGATGGAAGCGATTAGATTTTGATTTGAAACCACTTTTACATGTAATTGTCTTCTTAATGAGAAAGTTACTGACTTGTGAGAAAATCTGTAACAATTATACTGTTGAAATAGTGGAACTAGATCTTGATTGTTTAGTGAAAATCTTTGCTTAATGTTTTGCCAGTTCAAGTCGAAATTGAACTGTTCAGTTACTTGACTATAACCAGAATTTGAATCGATTCCATGGACTCCATGACTTACACCATCCTTCATTGTACCACCAATTATCCAAGTCTTTATGTCGACGATTACATAATACATTTGATGATAAAAATTCATTTTGAGTTAACTGTTTCAATTTGGGACATATTTGGCAAGAAAGTGTTCGGTAATCGTTATTGTTGACTGTGAATCGAGATTTCCACTCAAAATATGAATTATATCTTCTCTCATCTGCAGATAAACTCAGTAATAACATCGCCAAGTCTCGAGGTGATTTAAATGAAAGCGCATCAATATACGAATGATTGGTAAAACGTATGAATAATTACCTCCACCAAGAACAATCGGAATGATTGTGTAATTAAGAAGATTGAGTAGTTTCTCTGTAAAATAATCGTTACAAATTGAATTCTCGAAAGACAAGTAGTATCGATACTTTTTCTCAAAATATTCGTAACAATGTGATCCCTCGGAACGTGGACATTTGAATGGACCACATTCACCATAAATGTCAACATCAATGTAACGAGCTAACTCTTCAACATATTCATGCCTTCCCGAAGGAGCATGACAATGTGAAACCATCCAGACCACATTACGACTTTTCTTTGAAAAGGAACACTAACTTCATCTGATTGATGAGATTCATTTTTTGGTGAAAAAAAACCATATGGAGTTGGAAAATCAGAATTAGCTCGATAACTGGACCAACAATCAACGTAATCAGAGAAAACAGGTAATTCAGAGCGTCTACGTGTGTGTATCGGTGATTCCATAGTATGCCAGATCCACGTTTGACCTTCAAATTTATATTCAGGCAAATCTGAGATTAGTATTACGCCAATAGAAAATAACAACTTTCGCTTGAGGTAAGAGACTTCGATTTCGAGTGACAATACAATCACAGTCTAAAGGCACATCCGTTGTTCCTATCCATGAATCGAAAGGAGGAGTCCATAGGATGATAATCGGTGGAGAAGGAGGATAAACGAGCGGAGGAAATGCAGTTGGAATTGACACTCGGACTAATGGATGAGCTGATCCATGCGATTTATTTCCTGGATTGACGAGAAAATAGCCCAAATAGAGGCAAAAAAGGAGACCAACAATGAACAAAATCCACTTTTTACGTCTTTGTAATGAGAATGAATGACAAGAATTTCGAGTCAACTTATTAATTCGTTTATTGTGTAATAATTGAACTTCATCCATTTGCGACCTACTAAATATTTAGTTTGTAAAAAGAAATGACCAGAGAGAGAGAGAGAGAGAGAGAGAGAGAGAGAGAGAGAGAGAGAGAGAATAGACTTGGAGTTGATGAGAAAAAAATGAATAAATTGATAGCCGTTAGATTAAGTGGACTCGAACAAGAGCAAAACTCGTTGCGATTAGAAGGTGAATATGAGATGAGATTCAGATAATTCATTCAAAGAAAAGGGAAAATGAAAAGAGACAATTCGTTTGGTTTAATTAAACTAAAGATCTTTAATTAAAACTTTCTCTTTCTTTTTCTCTTTCCTCTTCCTTTTCTGTTGTCATCACAATTTACACACCGGTCTCATTATTTGGTTGTTGACTGTACATAAACGATACTCCAAATTACAGTAAACAATTACTGGTGCATCGATGTTAATCCAATGTAATGTATTTAGCTAATTGTTGTTCTCATTGATAATCATATTCATTTTGTTAAAAGATATCAATGACTTCCTTATTTAGTTTCTATCAGATAAGTTAATTGTTGTTCATCCATTTTGATTATCTTTGTTTTTGTTTTTGTCTTTGATTATTTGATTAACTACATTTCTTATTAGTGGTTAGAATTATAGATTTTTAATTGTTCAAATAGATTAAGTTAGGATTTTAGTTTAACTTAATCATTTGTTTCCATTTAATTGTTGTTAATCCGATCGTATTGATTTGTCAGCTGATTAACAGTAACTAATCAATGGATTTAAAAATTATCAATAGTCTTAATCAGTTTCGATATTGATTGTTGACAAAGAAAATATTCAATTACTTGAATGTAAACAATCAGTTGATCAACTAATTAACTTAATTGATTCAATTTGTTGGCTACGAATTAATTTCTATCCTTTAATTGTCATGTTTCCTCATCACAATCAACTAATTTGTATCAACCATGTATCATTATTATTATTGTTGCTTTTATTATCATTACATTGTAACAATTAAATCAATCATGACCAATTAATGTAATTAAAGTTAACACATGATTGATAAATAATAATTGTAATCATTATATTGCCTTTGAATTTAAACAGTTAACAATTAACTAGTCAATTCTTGATTCACCAATGTCAATGTCTTATCCCAACGATTCAAGGTTAGATTACAATTAATCAGTCATTAATTAATAAAATCAACACACAGAGAGAGATTATCTAACAATTAAAATACTCACAGTTAAGATAATTGTAATTACTACAGATGGGTAATCCTTTTAATTACCTTGATTATCATCAAGTTGATTAACTAAATTAAAGATTTGAGAAAACAAACTTTTTTTTTCAACAAATTAGTCTTAATTGTAATTAAGTATAATAAACATTAACTAATTAATTACATTAATCATTTCTTTTTTTCGTTAATTGTTTAATCAAACGGAGGAAGAGGGAAAAAATTAAATGAGTAAACACATTGAAGACCTTTAGAGGTTAATAAAAAAACCAATTACAATCATAATTAAGTGGTAACAATTAATATCGTAATAATTTACTAGTCAAATATGTATACACACAAACATATGTATATACAGTTTTAGTAGTGTAATTAACTAAATTGTCTAATCAATTTTGATCATTGTTATAACTATTATAATAACTAAATTAGATGTTCGATTGTAACTCTGATCAGCTTTGTTGTTAATTGTTACAATTGATTCCTCGTGTATTCTGAATGTTGACAATCAATTTGTATCTTTTGATTTCATATCTTCCTTTGGCTTTGTTTTTGTATAGTAAATGAAGTGGGAAAATTTTCAATGATAAATTATCATGAAAATGAATGAAAACAATCAGTTAATTGTAGTTATCTCTGTGTCATTGGAATTGATTTAGTTCGATGTATCTTTATGATCACTACCATCGATATATATATAATAGATTAATATGTGTGTTTGGAAAGTTCCGTTAGAATTATTTTCCCCTCCGGTGAGTTGATGTTGTGTCACTAAATTGTGGCTGTTGATGTTTATCCTCTTAATTGTGGTTCATTCTAGTATCCAAGATGATGAAAGTGGAAGTGACGATGAGAATGGTGACAATAATGATGACAATAATCGAGGAATATTATATATATATATATTATTGAGAGGATCGGGAGGAAGAGCATTTTCTAAATGGACTCAGGTCTCGTTTTTTACCAATCAAAGTTCAGTAATCCCGCCTGGCGGATGTTGATTATTTACAAATGCATTTAAGAGACGAAGGATGAGAGAGAAGGAGGTGGAAGAGGAAGTGGAAGAAAAATAAATGTCAGAAATGGATATAAATAAATGGATAGATAATGAATGAGGTTGGTGAACGTAAATGAAAATTAAATTGATAATAACAAGATAAAGATATTAATCAGGATGATTGAACTATGTTCATTAGGTTTGTCTATTTCATGTGTAGATTTGGTGTTGGATGATGTTGATGATAATGATGATGATGATTTACAGATTAACAACACCGAATCCATCTTCCTCTTCATTGGGATCACCATCGTCTAAGTACTTGCAGGATGAACCACAACAACAGTTACAACAAAGGATACATGGTGATGCGATTAGGAATAAGGGTGAGGCCAAAAGTAATAGTAAACCAAATCCAGCGAAAATAGCGATAACTTGAGTTCGATGCCAAATTACCGAAGGTCGGGAATGACCTAGCTTATTTTTACAAGGTCCTTTATCATAATGACGAAGTAAAAAATCATCCTGTAGATAAATGATAGAGAAAAATGAAAACAAAGATATTAATAAACTACGTCAGTAAGTTATTACTATTATGATAATAATTATCGTTATAAATTAACAAGGTTATGGATGATGAATAAAAAAAAACATCAACTACTCATTATTCAGTTGATTATCATGATCACCCTTTTCAAATGAATACTAATTCACTCTTTGGAAACTGTTAATAAAAGGAAAACTAATTCTCGGTTGATAGTTATGATTAAACTAATTGTCACACAGTTGAAGGAATAGCAAAAAGAAAATAATTTCAATCATGTAGATATAACTTTCTATTAATAGATTCGTCACCATTAGTAACGGATTTCCGGAGATTCATCATGATTGACCATTGATATTATCTATTGATGTCTTTTTTTGTGATATAATCATAATGTTTAAGGTTAATTGATTACAATTATAACTGTGATCATAATTGGAATTAATTAGTTTTTAAGTAAAAAAAAGGAGCTTAAATTTTTTAATGCAACTTAATTGTTATATCGGTGATGATTTTCTGATACAATTCATCTGATTGTTTCAAAATTTTGAATTTTCATCATCTTAATCAATCAAATTTTATCTTTTTCTTTATATCGATAATATAACCTACGATATCTATCATATGAATGAAATTTTCTCTCATTTGATTTTATGTAATAATAAGATTGGCCTGAAGACTCAATGGGATATCCACTTGAAGAGAAGGAAAAAAAAAGATTATTGATTGGAATCGACTGATAATGATGATGGAAGAGGAGAATAGACAGTTAGGTGGAAAAACAATTGTTTCGTGAGAAGAAAAAAATACTCAGTACATGATGAAAGGAAGAGAGAGAGAGAGAGAGAGAGAGAGAGAGAGAGAGAGAGAGAGTAAGGGTAAATTATCAATTTTCTAAATATAAAACAATGACTTTTTTATGGTTAATGGAGTTTTTTTTACTTCCTTTTTAATATTCAAAATTAGCTTTTGATCAACGAATCTAATTGCTGTTGATTAAAAGAGGCGAGAAAAGAAAATGTTGAAAAAATATCCAGATTGAAGATTGAGGTGATAATCTTATCATACTAATGATGATGATGAATGATGTAACATCATCAACAACGTTAATCATCAATGAGTCCAGTAGTTAAAATAGTTAATGGGTTAATCTGATGTTTCAATGTTGTGATGATGATGTTTTTCACAAGTAGAAAAACAATAGAGTTATTTGTTTCCACTTGGAGATGATTATCGATTTGATGTGAAAATTAATCATTTTAGTAACGCACATAGACATTCACATATGATTGGGATAATTTAGTTGATTGTTTTGTGAGAGAGGGAAGCAAAAAGTGACAAAAATAAAACACTAACCTCGAGTGATTGAAGGCAAAACCAGCAGAAAACGTGTTTACATTTACGGCACATCATTTGAGCGCATCCATCGTCTCTCTCAATCCAAACGGAGCATCGAGGGCAGCGTTTAATGTTATTGAGACGGTTTGGTGAGCCACTTTGATTGTTCAATAAAAGGGCAAGGTCATCATCTTCTCCTGAAGGCCAACATGAGGTTCCAGGGTGAAAGGGTTTTCGGCATAGGTTACAATAGGTTTCATTGCACTTTTGACAATAAAATGAGGCCTTGTCCAGTTCCGGTGAAACGTTTAGCGACATCTTTGTGGACTGAGTTGACTTTGATGAGGTAAATGATGATGATGAGGGCAGAGAAACAGTTTGACATTTTGTTATGGTGCAAATGTTAACACAGTTTGGCTTTGGACACCAGGTTCGATTGGGATCTTCATCTACTTCCTGGTATAATTTGTACTTTTTGTACAGATTAAATGTCTCCTCTGGTACCAATAATTGTATCTCTTGGGGAGTGAAACGATTTGGAGACATTGTTTTTATGAGAGATGTCATTAAACGATGATGATGATTAGGACCAGATGATGAGGAAATGTTATTATTACTAGCAGATGATGATAATGTTGAGGATGGATGTTGTTTCAATAATTTGATTATCTCTGGACAATTTGAATCAGGGCAAGTTAAATTACAAACATTATTGTTTTCCTTTATATTTATTGTCAGGTAAGTTTGTAGGCAATTGATACAGAAACGACATCCACAGGACCAAATTGTGTGCATCAATTGAGGTGATATCTCATTAAGACAGAGAGAGCATCGTTCAATTGAATCTAATTCACGATTTCTCAGGGTACCAATTGATGATTCATGACGATAATGATAACCAGATCGACGAGTTGAGGGAAGGTGAGATATTGAAGCTGATGAAGATGAAGTTAATTTACCACTTTTAGGAAAGAGACATTTACTTGATGATGAAATTGAATTATGATGAGAAGTGTTGACATTTGAATGATTCCTATGGTGATGGAGATGATTGTGAGGATGAGGATGATGATGGTGATTATGAGGGTGATTTAAGGATGAATGGTCATCGTTAATGTCAGGATTTAATGGTTCTTTTTCACCATTGTCCAGGTAAGACCATTTTGAAAATCGTCAATATCACCGAAACTGTAGGAAAGTTTCATTCGAAGGGTTGATTTTAAAGTTGATTCGGTTTCGGTGAGACGAGAGATAAATGGTTGGGTCACAGAACAAATTTTACTCGTTGGTTTAGCTGTACCTGGAATACTTTGACAGTCTAACCGTGAACCAGCTGATCGACTATTAGATCGAGATCCATCGAGTCCATTTCCATTTGAAGAAATTGTACCAACAGAATTTGATCCGTGATGTTGATTACTTTGATTATCTGAGGCTTCAGGGAAAATGGATGAAGATGATTTCTTTAAGAAAGGAACAGCTCGTTTCTTGAATAACCATTTGAAGGTGAAAAAATCAATTGCAGTTGAAGGTGTTGATGGTGATGATTGTTTCTTGGGGACACTAATTGATCCCAATTCAGTTGTGGTTGTTGTTGATTTACCTTTAGTACCAACGGTTAACGAGGGCATTGTTGTTGTTGATTGTTGAGACTGGAATATATTTGTATTGGTGTCAAAAGATTGTTGTTGTTGTTGTTGTTGTTGTGATGATTGTTGTGATTGTTGTATTGAAGGTGAAGTTGATAGTTCAATTGGAAGAGTTAGTAAATTGTCAAGCAGTTTACTAGTTACACTAGAACAATTAATGTTCTCACTTTGATCACTCATACTCTAATGATGGTAAAGATACTTAAATTATTCTTATTATCTGACTATCCTCTCCTTCACAATTATCACATACAATTAACTACTAATAAGTATAGTTGATAAAAGATAAAAATTGTCTCTCTCTCTCTCTCTCTTTTACCTGGTAAATATAATAATAATATTGTTCCTTAATGAGTGTTTGTATTATATAAACGTATTTATATAATACCTTATAACAAGATAAGGTTCAATTTTACAAACATCATTTGGTTGACAAATATATTAATTGTTTTGTTGTTGTTGTTGAATGTTCAGATGACTTTGCCTGGATATAATATTATTACTACGAGATGAGAGATATGAGATGATGACGATGAAAAGAGAAGATAATGAAAATGTTCACTATTTAAATGGAAAATAATAATCAATAGTAAACATTATCATTATAATTGTCCATTTAATCTTCATCTATAGTCAGTTGACCTACACCTTTTAGACCAAGAATCAATATGGATCCCATTTGATGGATGAACAACAAATTGAAAACAATTGCAGTAGAATAAAAGAAAATTTCCTGGAAACAGAGTTAACTTGATGATTAACAATTTAGACTCTATGGGAAGGAGAAAAAAAAACCAAAACAATTAAAGAGTATCCATTGTATGAACCACAAAAGTGATCGAGTTTAAAGTGAAAAGAAAACAAAAAATCAAAACAAATCCAACATTCGATTTATTTTGACGATAGATGTCACTAGTTGATCGATGTTCTCACAAGTAGACAAGTGAAAATTTGTAACTTGTCAATTAATGGAAATTACTAAATTGTAACCATTAATTAACTAAATCAATGTTTATAACCTGTTCCTAAGACAACAAAGAGACTCTAGAAAATACCAAACCAAAGGTAAGAGATTCAATAATAATGATAAAAGCGACAAAAACAAAAACAAAAACAAAACCATACATAACATTACATGGAAAAACTGAAAACAAATCTCCGTCGTGAATTAATAACGAAAATGGATCTCGTTGAGCAATTAGAAAAACTACCTCTTTGTGACATTATCAAAATGGGTCGTACATCTTTAATAGCTCATTTCAATTGACCGGATGTCGACGAAATTCTGGCGAAAACAAGCAGAAGAACAGATAATATTGAGACACGATTCATGGCTACGCAAAGGCGAGGACATTTGGTACAAAAATCTACACGAGACAAAAAATGAAAAATTGACTAATAACAATGGATTCATCGGATCAACATCATATTGGAAAATAATCAAATTATGGTCAAAAAATAATATCAGATCTACAAACAATTAACCAACTATTCAATCAACATATAAAAATCCAATCGAATTCCTTCTGAACTTATTTCTAACTCGATCAAAGATTCGGAAGAAATACTAAAAACTAGTAAAACAATCAAAGTAACGATCTAAAGAAGAACAATTAAACGAAAAGAATCGCGTTAATCATCTCCAAGTCGAAGTCTATTCTCTCGTTCTCTCTCTTCCTTGGTTGTTTCTTTTACCAATCGAAAGCTTTACTATCTCGCAAACGGATAAAGTTCAATTATTACACAATAAACGAACTAACCAGTTAACCCAAAATTCACTTAATTCATCATCACAAAGACGTAAAAATGAGCTCTGGTTATTGTTGACCAGGGGGCACTTATTACCTTTCATATGTTAATGTAAATGTAACAACAATACAACATTGAGGAGACAACGGGCATTTCTTTACTATTTGGTTTATATTCAATTAATTGAATGTTTTTCTTTGTCAACAATACATATCGACACTGGACTCTGGTCATTGCTGGTCTCCTCTTTTGCCTCTATTTTATCATCAAACCAGCTGATACACCAGTCCGAGTCTCACTCTCACCAGAATCTCCAGCATTCAGTCCTGCCGTCCAACCGATTATCCTCCTGTGGACACCTGCCTTCGATAGTGATTCATGGTGGGGAGCTACGAGTTTACCGTTAGGTTGTGATTGTGTTGTCACTCGGAATCGAAGTTTCTTGGCTCAAGCGAAAGTTGTAATTTTCTACTGGCGGAACACTAATCTCAAAGATTTGCCTAAATATAAATTTGAAGGTCAAACGTGGATCTGGCATCATATGGAATCTCCAATGAACACTTATAGACGATCTAGTTTAACCGCTTTCTCTAATTACATTGATTGTTGGTCCAGTTATCGAGCTGATTCAGATTTTCCAACTCCATATGGAACCATTATACCAAAAATCAATCTCATGAATCTCACAAATCAGTTAGTGTTCCCTTTTCAAAGAAAAGTCGTAATGTGGCCTGGATGGTTTCCAATTGTGGAGCTTCATCGGGAAGAGATGAATATGCTAAAGAGTTAGCTCGTTACATTGATGTTGACATTTATGGTGCTTGTGGTTCATTTAAATGTCCAAGTTCAAAAGGATCATATTGTTACGAATATTTTGAGAAAAAGTATCGATACTATCTGTCTTTCGAGAATTCAATTTGTTCCGATTATTATACCGAGAAGATAATCAATCTTCTTAATTACACAGTCATTCCCATTGTTCTCGGTGGAGCCAATTATTCATCAGTTTTACCAAATCATTCGTATATCGATGCTCTTTCATTTAAATCACCTCGATACTTGGCGATGTTATTACTGAGTTTATCTGCCGACGAGAAAAGATACAATTCATATTTCGAGTGGAAATCTCGCTATACGATCGACAATAACGATTATCGGATAGTTCTTTGCCAAATATGCTCCAGATTGAAACAATCAACCCAAAGTGGATTTTCATTTTCATCATCAACCAAAGATCACCATCAATTAAGACGATCAAATGTATTATGTAACCGTCGACATAAAGATCTGGTTAGTTGGTGGTTCAATGAAGGATCATGTAAATCATGGACTCCGATAAATTGATTCAAATTCTGGTCATAGTCATGCGATTGAACTTGAATTCACAAAGAAAAAGATTTTCAGAAAACAGGGAGTTACGAGCTTTTCTGATAGGAAATACATCGAGGAGATTTAGATTGTAACAATCAATTGGTCATGGATATTTTTCAATTAATCTTTGGTTTCTTCTTCATCTTCGTCCTCTTTATTGTTCCCTGACTGTTTTGATTTACCGGTCGCCTTGATTTCCAATGATTGTGTACATTTATCAAGCCGATTCAATGTTGTCTTTCGAGCGCTTCTCACATCTTCCCGTCCATTTGAATCGATATTATCCAATTTCAACATGCACCTTGTTAGCATTTCATCCAGGTATCTATACTCTTTACCTTGATATTCTCCGTCAAACTTTTCCACCTCAGATTCCAGTTGATCGGCCTCACCATCAATCTCAGCGACCATTTCCAGAGGATCTTTTTTCAACCTCTTAACGTTGTTTACATTTAAAGGAAGAGGAAAAGAAAGAAAAACTTGTAATTAAAGATCTTTAGTTTTGTTAATTGTCTTTTTGTTTAATAATAAATTATAATAATGCATTAATTTTGCTTTTCCCTTATCTTAAGAAAAATTAACCGAATCTCAAATATTAATCGAATATTCGCCTTCTAATCGCCGAGAGTTTTGATCTGTTTTCTCGAGTCCACTTAATCTATAAGATTATCAAGTAATCTCTTCATTTTTTGGACCCATAATAAAGTCGAAGTCTATTCTCTCTCTCTCTCTCTACTTTGTTTGTTTCTTTTTCCAGTCGAAAGCTTTACTATCTCGCAAATGGATGAAGTTCAATTATTACACAATAAACGAACTAACCAGTTAACCCAAAATTCACTTAATTCATCACAAAGACGTAAAAAATGGTTTAAACCAACAAACACCCTCTCAACTTGCCGCCTATTCAACATCATTACTTTCACCTGCAATTACAACCCGAAATGTTGAATCAATCGGCTGATAGAAAGTCAACTCATCGAAAACAATCGATCTTTTCTGGGAAAGATCGATTTTTTGTTCTATCGAATGATAATCGAAATGTTTTCATCTGTTTCTCTATAGAAAAGAAAATTTTTGAAAATTCAACCTTTAGATTGGTGTTTATTTTTTCCTAATTAATTAGTTGATTGATTTCTAGTTAATTTAATTATCCTCTGGTAAGTATTCAATCTTTTCTCTTGTCTACTTGTCGGTTCTATGGTTCATAATTTCTCTAATCATCTTTTGTATGTTCTTTTTTTTCATCTGGTGAAGGTCATTTGGATTTCTTATTGGAGGTTATTGTGAACCCGATTCTTCATTAATCTTTCACAAGTTTGTGCTCTCATTTTTTGGTGAATATTTTCATTTAATTCTATCATCATGGTTAAAATCACTGGTCCCATTGTTGATACACCATCGGTTGTATTTAATGGAAAAGTTTACAAGAAGCAACTTGTTAATTACAACAAGTTTAGTTTCCTTGATTTTGATTGGAGAGGCTTAGCCAGATCTAATTGGTATATGCGTTATGTTTTCATCTCTACGGTCTTTGTTGGACTTCCCTTGCAATATTATTTCCATCGATTAGTGAACTCACCCGAAAATAAGGCTTATTGGGTCGCTAAACGTAAAGCCGATCATGAGAAAGAGCAGAAAAAAGAATGGGATGTCTAATTTTGTTCACTTCTCAAGAGACATTTATCCGATTTACCTGTTAACCAGATTTATCCCCATTGTTCATCATCAAGGAAGAAAATTGTAATTCAAACTAATGAATTTTTAGATCGTCTTGAGAAAATTTAGATTAAAACAACTATAAAGTTGAAGTGAATTACGTATTTAAGAGCTAAATGTTATTACTATTTATTAATTTGGTTCACTATTTGTTGTTGTTGTTTTTTACAATGTAAGAATTTCCCTTTGTCAATTGGTTAGACATTATTGCTGAGATCAAGTTTTATCCATCGCTCTTTAATCAGGTTTGGTGTGGAGTTTGTCGATTAATGAAAATTATGAATAAATATCAATTGTATTCTTGTTAGAGATAAAAGGGGATTGTTGTTTTGTCATGGGAATTGGACGATTTTGTTAATTGTGGCGAAGTGGAAATTACTTCAAGGGAGTAAAAGTCCTTTGAGAAAAGCCCAGAAATGGGAAAGTGCTTGTTGTTGGACTTGTGTCTGAGCTGGAGTTTGATTAACGGTAGTGGTGAGATCTCGGGGTAAAAATGGCTTTAAAGAGGCCTGAAGTTTGTGCCAAAAAGTTTTCTCTTTAGTTGAGTAATTATCGGAAAATTTAATCGCGTCTGGACCATCAATATAATAATGAGCAAGTAAACGCTGAACAAGAAAAAGTTAATAAATGGAAAGAAAAAAATAATTAGAAGAAAATAATTATTGTGATATTTTTGTTTAAAAATTTTCATCTAAAGTATACTAACCATGTCTAATAGTAAATCTTGTGTTAGAAATGAATCTCTGGTCACACTGTAAGTCATCTGCATGGGTCGCCCATATTCAAGGGGTTTAAATTCATTTGGAGGCATAACCCAAAAAGCTTGATACCTTGAGGTTAATCTTGGATTATCTTCATCGTAAGGTGAACAAATTAATCCAATACAGGGAATGTAAGTTGCATCAGTATCACCTTTCATTGCGATCTGATAATCCATTTGAGATTCAATGTCTCGTATGGTGGGTTGAGGGGCTGCTTTCGGGTGACTATGATACCAGCCAACGATGGTCAATTTTTTCTGATCCATATTTTGTCTAATCTCTTCTTCAACTTTTCGAGATCTTTCTTTATCACCAAGTCGAGTTTTACAAGGGAATGCTTGTAGAATTGACAAATTATGAGTTGTAATATCCCAAGAACCGCCAAGATAACCGACAACTTCACCGGTTGTTAAATGACAATGGAAATCAATTGTTAAAAGAGCATTTGTTGAAATTGTTAAGGTAAAAGGCTGAATCCTTTCCAGGGCACTGAATGGAATACATTTAACCATGGTATTGGTATCCTGTTGGATAAGTTTACTGGCAAGAGTATGATGTTCAACAACATTTTTCTCTTTCATTGGATAATTGTCAGGTAAAAAAGTTAATGGGACAGGGGAAGAATCAGATGAAACACTTTGGGAATGGGTTAAATAGTCTGAGGCTGCCTTGGAATAAACCATTGCTGAATCGTACATGTTGGCCGAGGTGACAATCTTTCTTTGCTTTCGATACCATCTTAATTTATATGAATCGAGTCGCTTTCGTCGATACCTGATTGTAGACCAAGCTGAACCAGGTTTACTGTTACTACTCTCTGGATTGACAAGTTTCTTACAGTGATTAAACCAGGCACTGGGTGTAGTAAATATTTGCTTTGATTGAGCCCATCTTATATTACCATTGGGTAATAAGTCAGCATCAAATTTAGTACCATAATAGTCCATGGTAAGTACATTGTTTCCAGGGTCGACAATTTGATCATCGATTAAAGTTTTTAAGGAGCAAATTTGTCCTGACAAAGATTTACGTCCAACTTGACTTTTATGAGAAGTTGATGGAAGAGAGTCTTCGGTAACAGTATCACCATCTGATGAATCGTTTCTGTCTAAATCTGTTCGCTCTTCAACATCACCGTCACTTGTGTTATTATCCATGATTATGGTGAATTATTGTGTAACTTTGTTTAATTCTAAACAGGTTGGTTGTGTTCTTTGTCTTGAATGGCGTGAGTAGAAAAATTAAACTCCAACAAAGCAATAGTATAAAATATGAATTATACTGAAAGTCTTTGAAGGCTAAGTAGAAAATAAAATTGAGAGTATTATCTGTGAAAATGAAAAGAAAAATTAAATTAAAATTACCATTCAAATATAATTTCATTGGAAGAAAAATAAAATCAAAAACGCTAATTACCTTTCTTTTTAAGTAGATAGCCGATGGAAGATTTTAATATTTAGTCTAATGAGATTAGGTCCACTTGTATTCAAGACAATTTTTGATATCAGTGAGTATTAATTACCAATCAATTTTTCATTATCATCTAATGATAAGAATGGAAGTAGTAAATTTTGACAAAAGTAGTTCGAAAACACAGTTCAACATATCTTTTTGTATACACAGGAAGTGTTACCGGTCCAGCGACAATATTATTACAAACAGCTCTTTTCAGGTATCCTGATCATAATTCACCTCGGCCAAACATGAAGAATTTAAAGATAACCCATAATTAAACCTTTAACCGAATAAAACAATTAAAGAATAAGTAGAAAAAAAGGCGAGAAGATGAAATGGTCGAAAGAGAACAAATGAGTTTGACCAGATGGAATAATCCAAAATCCAAAAAAAAATTCTCTTTCAACAATGGTTGGTTTATATTCTCCTTTAGGTGTTTTGATTTTCCAGTTAAAATTGAGGATTCTTAATATAATTCGATAGAAAAACCAAGTTAAAGAAGCAGGGAAAAAAATCTAAGAGAAAGTAAAAGAAAGAGAAAAAAGAAAGAAGAAAAGATGAGATGAAGATAGGAGACAAAAGAACAAAAAATCAGAATTAAAACAGAAATCACAACTGATCTATCTTTTGATTTTCCACCAAAAAAAAAGAAAACACATTTACAATCAAAACACCAAATAAACCATCAATTAAATGAAAACTGAGCAACAAAATTGAATAAAATAAAAACCCATCGACAATTGAAACTGTGAATTATTAATAAAAAAAGAATTCAATCAAAACCAATAAGTAGATAATATTAATGACAATTGGTTCTAACACAATGCAAAAAAGAAAAAGAAATTGCATCAACATTTGACAAGAGAAAATCCATTTGAAATCGATTAGCTTACCTGGTATTCCAATAAACAATCACTGTTCACAATCAGTTAAACAACTAAGGTAAACAAATCAATCAACTAAATTGATTAACAATTTAACAAATTAAAGCGAAAATAAATTGTTCCAAAATCAAAAGGAACAATTAATCAAGATGAATTTAAATTTTGTAACCAAAGTGAAAAAAAAACCAAAAAAGAATTAGAGGGAAAAAGGGAACGTATTCTAATAACAAACAGTAAATTCTATTCTCCAGAAAAAGTAGAAATTCGAGCCAACAGATGTCACTACTTTTGCCTCTTTCTTTTCTCTTTTCGGCTGAGCTGTTAAAATAGACATTCGATTGGCTATTTTAACCGACGAGAATTAAATTTAAATATTAATTGTTGAGAAAATGGAATCGAAAAGATTTTTTAAAATAATTTCCAAAAAGAATCGTCTATTAATCACTGCGCGAATAATTAAATCAATGATAATTAAAACGTGGAAAAAGTTACAGAGAAAAGAAATGATTAGATTGTAACAATTAACTAATTAATTGGAAAAAGAAGAAAAAATTTTCCATTAAATTTGCTTGATGAAAATTTTCAAACGATTAACAATTTGTTTTCTTACAATTAAATGATAATCTCTCTCTCTAAATAATTAACCTTGATTAAGAGATAATAACAGCAACAACAATAAAAATGAAAGAAAATAATTAAATAGTTAATAGTTAATTGTTGAAACAGGAAAGAAATCGAATCGTTTAAAAAAAGTTAACCGATCATCACTAATCAAACTAATCATCAACCTGATCATTATTATATTAGTTTGATAGTTGATTGTCTCATTTTATTTGTATAATTAGATTCAATTATCTGTACGTGTAAATTTTATTCAAATTGTTTCGCAGATGATTAAGATTATCCATTAATTAAGTGTTAATTGTTTAGGAAGGTGAAGAAGAAGAAGAAGAAAAAAAAAAGTAAACAAAAGTTTTTCGTTTAAATCAATGATCCATGTAACCACATTATGGTTAAACAATCAGCAGCAATTAAGTGAAACAAATATACTGTTCACAACAATTAAAGAGTAAATAAATTTAGTTAACCAATTAGAGGAAGAAGAAAAAAAAATCTTAACCAAATGATAGACAATTAAAAGTTTAACCATTGACTTGAAGGAATTGAAGTAACAACAACAACATCAACAACTCGAACAACAATTAATCAACAAGTTGATCATGTTCATATTTAGAGTTTAAGAGAGAGAGAGAATTAAGTTTCAGATTAACCATGATAATCATTCATGATGAATAATATTCTGAAAGAGTAGAAAACCTTGATTCAGGAAAGAAGGAAAAACTCAAAGAAGATTTTTTTTTCTCTTCTCTCTTTTTCTCTTACAACAACAAACGGGTGGGTTGTTGTTGTGAGTGGGGTGGAAAGTGGGTAGAGAAAGAGACAGGTAAAGAAAAGAAGTTGTTGTTGATGATGATGATGATGATGGTGAGGTGGAGGAAGAAGATGATGAGGGAAGAGGGAGGGAAGGTTTTTAAGGAGGAAAAAAGGTAAAGGTAAAATATATTAGTTTAGAGAAGGAAAAAGAAGAGAGAGAAAAGTTAACAACGAACAAGAAGAAAAGTGGGAGAGAGAGAGAAAAAGATGAAAAGAAGAGAGTGGGCTTGGTGGTAATAGAAGATGATGGTGGTGTGAGAGAGAAAATTATGGAATCTCTCTTTCTCTCTCTTTCTATCATCATCATCGTTTCTACCTCTACTTATACTCATTTGATTTAGGCTTGGTTCCTATTCTGTTGATAAAAGACAAACACATCTCATTACATTATTATCATTGAAGATATGAAATGTTGTTGGGTGGAAGATGAAAAATCTCATCATCATCAACCCCTTTTTGTTTTTTGGCTCATCTTCATCTTATCTTCCTTTCTCTCTCTCTCTCTTATTATCTCTTCCTCTTTCTCTTCCCTCTGTCTATTAGCGATAAAGTTTCCTTTCCTTTTTCGTCTTAATTCCCTCTCCGCCCTCCTTACCACCCTTTCTCAATCTCTTTCTTCTTCTCTTTCTTTTACATTTTTCCATCTCTCATGATGATCATCACCATCACCATCATCATCATCAACATCATCATATTGCCCTCCACCCACTTTTTTCCTCATCATCATCATTTCCAAAAACTTTCTGTGTGTTGGATCAACTTTTTTTCCTCTCTCTCTCTCTCTCTCTCTCTGCTATTTTCTTTCCTTTCCCTCCCTTTCCCTGTACTTTTACCACTCTCTTCCCTTCTCCACCCACTCCTCCACCTCCTCTTCATTCTCTTTGCTATTCCATCATCATCATCATTTACTCCTCTCTCCCTTCCACCCATGTTCTACCTCCCACTCCTTCTTGTCTCGATCTTCTTCTTTTTCCTCTTCATCCCTAGAATCGAGATTCGAGAAAATTACTTTCATCTTCTTCTTCCTTTCCCATCATCAAAATCTTTATCCATCTCATCTCCTTTTTTTCCTTCATCATCATCTCATCTCATTTTCTCTTCCTCCTCTTCTATCATCCTCCTCTTTTATCTTCCTCCTCTTTCCACATAATCATTTCCCGTCCAGGCTTCTCTTTCTTTTCTTCTCTCTCTTTTTCTCATCTCTATCATAACTTTTTTCCCTTTTCAATCATTCACATTTCGTTTCTCTCTTTCTTTCCACTTTCCTCCTTTTCTTTTTTCCTCTTTTTTTTTCCTTTTTTTCTCTCTCAGTATCCATTTTCTCTCCCCCCACCTCCACCTCCTCCTTTCTCTTCCTCCTACTCTTCTTGATCATCTTCTTCCTCTTTCATTTTCCTCTCCCCCTCCGCCTCCTCCTTCTCTTCCTCCTCCTCCTCCTTCTTTTCCATTCTCTCATCTTCCTCCCACTTTTTTCCTTTTCCATCATCATCCAACATTCACCAAAGTAACAACAAAATCATCATCATCCTCATCATCCTCATGTCATACTCAGCATTCACGAAAACACACACAACCACCAACATCAAACTCTAACTACGAAAACAAAAAGTTCACCCGAACTCTAACTCTCTCTTTCTTTTCCTCTTAGATAGAATCTCTCTCTCTCTCTCTCTCTCTCTCTCTCTCTCACTATCTCTCAATGCAACCAACTATCTCTTACAATTTTTCATCATCATTTTTATCTTCTTCTTCCTTATCATTATCATTTCCACCCACTTATCATCTTCCTCCTCTGCCTTCACCATGTTAATAATATACACATATATTTATATCCTCTCTCCCCTCTTACTCTCTCTCTCTCTCTCTTCCCTCAATAGCCTCTATCATCTCTTTTTCATCTGATTTTCCCTTGACTCGCCTTACACCCTTCATCATCTTCTTCATCATCATCATCATCCTCCTTCTTTTCCTCCTCCTCCTCCTTTTTTCTTCTTCCTTCATTATCTCATCTTTTTCCCTGTTAGTCAAAAGTCTCCCACTTTTTTTTCCTTTTTCATCTTCTCTCTTTTTCTCTCTCACTTTTCTCTCTCTCTCTCAATCTCTCACTTATCTTCCGCCCTCTTTTTTTCTCTTCTCTGATCTTCATCTTCATCATCATTGCTGCTTTAGCTTTTTATCCAAGTTTTTCTTTCTTACAAACTCTCGTCTTTCCATCTCCTTCTTCAAACTAATTGTGAGTTTATCTTATTTGGAACTTTTTGTTTTTCTTTGATATTTTTTTTTTCTCTTTAGAAAAAACAAATTCTCCAACTTTTCCTAGTCCCAAATACCATAGGGATATTTACCACCCATTGGATATATTCAAAGTGCTGGAATTTACATATAAAAACAATTCTAACTGTTAACAATTAACAGTAACGCAAGAAAATGATTTCAGAAAGTGATTTCTACAATCAAACTAATCATCATCACCTTCACTCTGTAAACAAACAACAACAACAACATAGTCTTAATAATAACAACAAACTGTTTGGTGTTGGTCAGAAAAAAAGATACTCATGTGACCAATGTTCATATTCAACTGACCGCCGTGACCTTTACCGAAGACATGAAAACATCCATAGGGACGAGAAACCATTTCGTTGTTACGTTTGTAATAAGATGTTCAATCGAGCTGATCATGTAAAGAAACATTTCCTTCGGATTCACAAAGGACTCGAATATAATGTTAAACTAATTAAGAGGTTAAATGGTGTTGATTATTCATCATCTTCATCATTATCACCAACATCGACAACAACATCCTCATCATCAACAACAACAACAACAGTTGACAGCAATCAAAATGGAGGTTCCTGTTTAAATGGTTACCTAACTGATGGAATTGGTCATTTAATTACATCGAGTAACGTTATTGACAATTTACCATCACAATTAACAACAACCACAACCATAACAACACCAACAACACAATCATCTATCAATGGATTCAATTGTTTAACTAATTTAACAAGTAAATCAAATCATCGATCATTATTTAATTCCTATGGTTCTCAAGCTGTTTTTCCTAAATTTAAATCTATTAATCCACCTACACAATCTAACCAACGATCATTGTTAACACCTGTAAAATCACAATTAACTCAACAATCAAATCAACAGCAATCAACAACATCATCATCATCATTACGATCATTACAATTACAATCATCAACACCATCACCACCAATGGGACAACCTAATCAACGATCGTTGTTAACTATGGTACAATCATCACAAACAAAATCTAAATGTAAATCTCAATTATCACCATCACCTAAACCATTATCAACACAATCAATTTCCCCAATGATAATACAACAACAATCAACACAATTACCACCACAAACACAACCACAACCTCAAAGATCATTACTAAATTTGGTACAACATCAACATCAACCTTCAAACTCACCAACACCACCACCACCCCAATCAACATCATCCTCGCCCTCACCACCATCACCATCCCAACAACCACCCTCATCGTCATCAACATCATCACTATTATCATCATTATCATCTTTATCATCATTATCTTCATTATCCTCTCTGTCTTCCTCATCACCATCAACCTACAATACAAATATTGATAGTGATGATGATACCACTATCACCACAATCAACAATAACAATCAAATAATAATAGTAATTTGTGGTAAACGAAATTCAAATCAGAAATCGATAATTAATCACATGTTAAATCACAATGGCCTTAAACGATCCCGTAAATATCCCTCCCAATGCTTGACCCGATCTTCGTCCTCCTCATCGATATCATCGTCCTCGAATATAACCCGAAAGGACCGAAGGAAACAAAGTAAACCCAAACGGGCTTCAATTGACCCCAACGAAGTTGAACTTTGTGTCTCCTAAACAATTAAATTTGAAAGGGAAACAAATTCTAAATTAACTCACTCATCATGATCATCATAATTAATTAACTAATATCCTTAATTGCCAAATTGTTTCTAATCTATTAGCTCTAATCACCACTCATATTTATATGTAATAATTAAAACCAAGTGTAATTAAGTGTGGGTGTTAATGTTAAATATTATATTATATTGATAAAATAAAATAGTATCGTTGGAAAATCAATTTAATTGTCATTCATGATTTAATATTAATCGATATTAATTCAACTCAATTATCTAGACAACGTCGCCATCTATTGAAATGATTTACTTTCATTTTCAATCATTTGATTGTCAACAATCAGTTTAACAACATTTTCTTAACATAATTGTTAACAATTAAGATTATAATTAAGACATTGAGCTACTGATTGTCAAGGTGATTATTGTTTTCTTATTCAAATAATTGCTCTTTATCTTGATGACCATTGGTCAAGGTTTTTTAATCTGTGTTATTGTGGTTGCGATTAAAGTTCAAATTGGTAATCACAATTAACTTTGAAACCTTTTTTTTTTGTGTTTAATTATCTTTAATTGTGTTTCTCATTGATTGTCGGTGTTTAAACAGTTAATTAAAATCCCATCAAGTGGCTAGAAATCAGTAAATTGTTTGTTGATCCTCTTTCATTTTTGAGTCAAGTAGTCAAATCAAATAGTTAAACTGGGAAACTCTAATCAAAGGCTAATTGTTGTAAATCCCAAGGAAAATTTTAAACCTTTTACCAATTTACAATTTAAATCATTGTTAAGATTAAATTACTTTTCAATTAATCTGAAAACGAAATTTTGCTGAAAAGTGTCGCCATCTATTGGAATAGTTAACAACTAGGAACCAGTGATTAAATTGATTGTTGATTAATCTGTTGTTACTTATTAATTTACCTTTCGTTTTTTTTTGTTGATATCACTAAATGATGATCGGTAAAAAAATCGTCTCGAACTGGAAAAAAAATGTTCAGAATTTTCTATTCGATCTGTTTTTTTGTCGTTCTTATGGATTGACTTGAAGATGATTTTGATTATGAAAATGAAGATGATTGAAGATCTGTCATCCACTTGATCTCAATTGTAATCAGCATGATATTTTTTTGTCAACACTCTTAATCATGATAAGTTAATCACTTGTTGCATTTGCAATTTGATTATAACCACATAGACACTTACATCAGTTACCTTAAATTATTTATGATCAATATTGTTTTTACATCAACTAAATTAACAGTCCAATCAAAATAATGAGTAGTTAATCATTACTTTTATAACCTTAATTTTGTTAACATTTGATGATCATTTGGTTAGCTCAGCATCATCAGTGGTTAATGTTGACAAAAATGAAATTGAACAAGTATGTTTAATATAAATTGCTATGAAATTGTAAGCAATTAACTTCTAATTGTTAAAATCTAATTGTAATACTGTAAACAGAATTTCAATTTTACCGGATTACTTTTCAAGGATTTTTCTTGGTCTCAATGTGGAAACACCGATGTGATTAAATTCAGTCGACTTGAACTCGATCCCGATCCAATGGTCATTCCTGGAATACTTTCCCTTGGACTTGATGTTTTACTGAAAGCAAATTTAACAGCCCCACTTCCGGTAAGTGACCAATAATCACCCGAAGTATCAAATGTTGATCGAATTTGTTTACTCTTCTCTTCCCTTCGTCGATTTTCAAGTTCACATTGAGAATGAAGAAAAAAGTGTTCGGTGTTTGGGTGAATATTCCTTGCGAAAGCGGTTTTGGTTCCTGTGATTATCCCGATTTCTGCCTATTGTGGCCTTACCCTAAACCTTGTTCGGAAGTTTATACTCGCTACAATGTCCCTTGTTCGTGCCCATTCACCGCGGGAAGATACAACTTCCCGGAAAGTGTCGTCGGAAATGCAACCCTACCCTTTACAGATATTCCCAAGTGGCTCGAGAATGGACATTACTCAATCGAAGCTCGTCTATTGGATCCAAGTGGCACTGAACAGTTTTGTATGCAAATTCTCATGCAAATGAAGATTGCCAATTAAATTTGATTCCCTTTACCGGCCCTGTAATCAATTAATTACAGTAAAGTCATTGAACACACTCACAGTACCAATCAAGTGGATACATGATGATTATCAACAAATCCAAGTTTCCGTGATCCTCTTAAAGTCAATCTTTTATCATCATGCTGATGATGAGGATAATTAATCAATCTAATCAGGGGCACTTAATCATCAAAACAATTTGACTACAATTTGATTCATTTTCTCTTGTAACAATTGGGATGATTAGATGATAATTGAAAACTCGATGTGATTTTGAAAGCTCAGAGTATAAGGTGATGGTAATTCAGAATAATTAAATATGCGCCCAGTGGGAGAGGGTTAATAGTGAATCATTATAACTCTAATGATGAGAAGGAAATTATTTCGAACATTTCATCTTCTCTTCCTCTCTCCCTCTCTTTGTCTCTTTCTTTTTTTTCTGTCAAAAAATCCATCACTCAGTTAACTCATCCTCAATTTCATTCACATCACCATGATGATGATCCTTTTTGTCTTCTTCTTCTTTCAAATCATATTGAATCTCTCAAGAGATAAGATGATAAAGTGAAGACGAAGAAGACAAAGAATCTTATTGGTAGAGAGTCTTTCGTTTTTCTCTTTCCTTTTCTCATCATCTTAATCTCATATTCGATAGTTTTTCAGTTCCATCTTCATCTTCAGCATTCCCATGATTAGACTCTTAAACTATTCCAATAACTGATTCGCTATTATGTTGAAGCTGAAAAAACTTTTTACTCCAAATTTGAGATTTTGTCTGAAATCATTTGAACTCGAAAACGGAAAGAACAGAAACTAATTCCAATTTCTACCTCTTTTCCACTCACAATTCTTGACCTATCACCGATATTCATGAGTTCTGATAGGAAAATCTTAGAAGGATGAACAGAGGAATCGAAAGTCAGAAAGAAAACTTAAACCAGCGAGTAAAAGTCATTCATCTTTCGAAGAAACAATTTTTGTCTCGAACAAAATAAAAAAAAAAGTTCTAATTCCATGGAAACTTTTACAACAAATGATTCATCTTTTTTGAGCCAAGATCATGATAAAATCTCTAATCATCATGATGATCATCATTTATCCCGTTCTAATGGTTTCCTTTGTAAATCTAGTTCGATAATTATGTTTTTCTCACAGAATCAATGAGATGAATAATGATCTAAGATAAACTATTAACACCTTCCAAATGAAACTGTATCATGATTAGAGATACAATTAATTATCGATACACTTTTTGTGATCAAGAAAATTTTTATACATTAACAGGGAGAAAACAATTGAATCTCTTTTCCATGATAAATTCAGACTCACAATATTTCATTGAACAAAACTCAACCAACAAAAAGGGTTAATGATTGATGTTGATCATTAAACTCAATCATTTCAAAGGTAAATTCATGAGCTGAAGAATAAGAATTGGAACTGAGCTGATTTCGAAAAGAAAGAAAATTCTCAATTTATATAAGTTTCTATTCATATTCTATACCCAAAAGGTATTAAAGAAAGATTTAAAATTTATTGACAGAATTCAGGGTAACAATAATTCTGATTTAATGATTTAGAATCAGATTTTCTATTCCATTATTACCATTCATTGATTCAAATACTTTTCATCGCAAGTTTCATGAGATTCATCATGATATATACGATACATTTGGTCTCATTCAAGTTATTATTCTTGATCGTTGTTCTCATCCTGAATGTTATTCAGTGTATTGGTTATCCAATCAATTAACCAATCGATGATCACCATTGGTGAGATTCCGAGCCAAATGCCGATGGCACTTTGAGTGTATACAATTAGATCGTCGATATCATAATAAGGTACAACTATGTTGGATAATGTCGGCGTTGATGGCATCCGAATCACCATCATTGATTGATTGTTACTACGACGATAGATGATCCGGTTCTGGGTTGGTTTTAACATTGTATCGTCGCAATCGGGATATGGGGCCAAATTTTACATTGAGCTTCAAAGGACGAGAAAAGATTGTGATAGTAAAATTTGGTCTCATTTTCGGGGGTCAGATATTCAAGGTAAATCTGAAAAAGGCCAGTTTTACTTTCCGATTGTTCTTGTTGGTCCAAGGGTTGAAGAACACCATTAAATGGACAGTCCAGTTTTTCTCGAGTTAAATTACTTAAACATTGGGAAATTTTATCGATCTTATTAAGAAAACCTTGAGCTTTATAATCGGTACACTGATCGAAAAAGTCACTTTGTGAATAAGATGTTTTCAACCTTTTAAAGGAAAAGATCATTTCGAACGGAATATTGGCCTTAGAATAGAAGTCGAAAAAAAGTGAATTCTCCGATTTATGGTTGACAATCTTTTCCAAGGTACAATCATTACCGAAACGGAGGTTGAAAAGTTGGCCAGGTAAGGGTCAAACTTGACCATCATCATTTGACCTGAAGCTTCACCTCGCTCAACGATATTTCGATCATAACTTATTGCTGAACCATTTTTACTACACGAAATTGTGACACAAAGTAAGGTACCGATTAGATTATTGGTCTTGGTACAATCGCTTGAGGTCACTTGATTCTGGTAAATGTCATCAATGGCCGGGGCTGGATGGATGGATGAGATTATCCGATTTGGATCTTTAATACTTTTCATCAGCTCATTAACTTTCATTTCACTGAGTAGTTTCAACGCTGTCGGGTCAATGGCGAACCTTTTTTGACCTGGTCGATAAATGGACACTGTTGGATACTTGGACTGAAAATAAGTGACATTGATCAGGTCATAAATTGAAAAGCAAAGGTAAATATCAGGTAAATAAAACTTTGCCGAATTGGAAATTTTCAATCGAGTTCGAGTCTCACCTCGAATAATATAATTCAACATGAAAGCGATCTGATAGATACACAAGGCCAACGCTGCCGTGTCAATGGTCAACCTTAAATATTGACGTGAATCTTTGATCATCATTTTCGTTTAATTAAAACAATCAACTGACCACTGATCGAAAAGACAAAGATCATTATAAAATCAACAATACCAACTGATTGACCAGAATAAAAGTAAAAAGTTAGCCAACAATTAACATCCACACCGAATAACCAACCAATAATCAATTGATTGTCGTTCATTAAATATCTTAACAATCAATTAACAGTTGAAAGAAAAATAGTTAATCATTTCCACGAAAATATCATTTGATTGTTACAATGTTTTTTTTTCTGCCTTCTAAATGATTAAAGTTAATCACTGAACTGGTATAATGATTAACCTTAACTCCATCATTGTGATTGACTTAATTGTCAAGTAATAAGTGAAACCCTATGGTCATTAAATGTTCATGTTTTTTACCTCGAATTTGATACTTACAATTATTGCTTCGAACCAGAAAAGTTCAATGATGATAAACATCTTCATTTGATATCGATTGATCATGTACCATGTTAATCACCATCTTCTTAATGATTTTCTGCTGATCAAGTTGATTTGGATTCTTATTGATAGATAAACCAAAATGTTTTCCAATGGATCAATATGATAACATTGGATTAGAGAGTGAGAGAGAGAGCAAGATAGAGAGAGAAACTCATTGGAACAAAAAATTATCCCAAATCAATAAGAAAACATTTTCGAAACGATTATTTTTTCTCTCTCACAATTGATTCAATTTCTAAGCTGGAAAGCAGTTCTAATTGATTTGAATCAGTTAATCAATATGTAAAAAAAGCACAAGAATGAGACTTAATTTGATTGATCAATTTTGTGACTTCAAGTGTTGACTGTTAACAATTAGCATCCAAGATGAAGTTGACCGGATAATATTGACCATTGGAAAATAATTGATTCTTTGCTTATCTTGAATCTATCATTTTTATGGCAATAGGAAAGTTGATTAAGTATAATAATCAACTAGATGAAGGAGGAAGTTAAGTAATCAATGATGAGAATGATGATGATGACGATGATGATGATGTTATAAAAGTGATTAAGCCTCCCGGGTCATCATCATCATCATCTTAACTGACCATCAACTCTTATATTTAACTGATACTAACTAACGATTCCCAGGTTGATCCTTTTTTTAGACACTAAGTGTATATATAACTGACCAGTCCGATCGGTTTCATGGTGATCATGATAAGTAATCATTTTGAAAAGATATAATCATGATAATGATTCTGGTCAATATATATGAGTTTTTAAATGACCATTGGAATTGATTGTTTCTTTTTTTCATCCCAGTCAATTTTTCCCCATGAATTGTGACCCAAGATAATAAATATCGATAGTTTCATGTGAAAGTTAAAGTAACATGAAGGATTAACAGAATACTTGGAATTGAATTGTATTCAGTTGTTGTTATCTCATTATTATCTTAAGGAGTGTAGGTAGTTATCAGAATTCTAGAAAGGTTGAAAGTTACTCTTTCCACCCTGAGACTAAAAGGTAACCATGAAAAATAAATAATCTCATCTCGTCAAAGGGGATCAGCGAAAAAAAAGTTCTTGAAATTTTCGAATGAAACTTTTTTTTTCCTTACTTATCTTTCTCAATGGGAATCATGTATTACTCTGAATTTATCCATGCAACTGAAAATCAAATGAATAAATTACTAAGTATTATAATCAAATGAACATTTGAATAGCATCAACCTATTAAATTCTGGTTCAGTAAATCAAAGTCAATTATTAGGCATTATTATCATGTCATTCAATATGAAAACCTTTTTTTTTCATGGGATTTAATTTTCAGCATGAAAACAATTTTCATGGAGAAATAAATTGCTCATCTAATTTTGAAATGCTTATTGGTAATTCAATCACATTAAGAGTTGAATTAAGATGATGATTATGAAAGGTATCAGATTTTGTTGTTTCCATTAGGATAAATTTTTTTGTCTCTTCTGATATTATTTTGATATCTGAACTTTTGGTGTGAGGAAAAAGAGTTGAAAAAGCTTCCGGGTTGAAGAGGGTTCCAGTCAGTGGGAAAGTTTATCTACTGTTTCCGGTGGGTACATGAGTCTAAAGGTTTAGATACAATGGAAGGTGGAAAATGAGGAGGAGGAGAGTGG